GGCAACACCGACGGATCAATAATCAACATGCTCGCTAACTGAAGGCGACATGTCGACAGCAAGAGAACAGCGCTGACCATTTCCAGAATGATGCTGAGGCTTATCGCGTCATAGTGCAAGGTTCAAACCGTCAAAATACATTGAAAGTTCAAACCGTCGAGCTCAAGCTCGATTGAACAAGTTGCGCTTGGCTCGCGCCGCTACCGCATGGTAAGCGCTTATGCTGATCCAAAATAAGTTGAATTTCTCTAGATCTGTATCGTATACACACGCGCCAAATCACGACCAAAATTTATTCAGGAGCTTCTTGGCCTGTTCAGATTACACTCAGCCTTATGGCAGACCACTTATGGTACAATGCACAGGAAGTTCGGTGGAGCCTGGCCACGAAGCCATCGTTCTTATTTATTACTTCCGTGCGCATGCTAACCATATGTAGTCAACGTTATCTATAGAAGAGTGCACTTACCAGTACGTGACTCTGTAGTTTGCAGAATGATCGTATTTGTTCTAGACTATACACGAGCATATGACTGTTCTGCCTCTTCGTGTGGAATATTGTGGCACTGCAACTCCTTCGCCGAATAGAACACAGTCACTTCTATTCCCCATACAGATGTACGACACGGAACTCTGAGTTTGACATCACCGCATACTACAACATCAGTGCATGTAGCCTTTCCCGTAGGAATCGCGAAGACTGGCTCAATCAGAATGCGATACTTCCTCGGAGATGCATCTCCGATAAATACAGGAGCCTTCGTCGCACTCGGTACGCAGCATTCAGCTCTCGTCTGCATCGCGCTCCGGCCTCTACCATGCAGCCCTTTAGCAAAGTCACATTCCTACTGCTAGCTGCTCTACTCGCAAACGCCATGGCGCTCCCTCGGGTTTACAGTCGTCAAGGTAGGGCCACATTCTTCTAATTCATCGACGCCTGGTTGATTTCTTGCTAGACTCGTCAGACTCTTCCAGTCCACAGTCCGGTTGTGTTGGCGTGGATTGTGAATTCACCGGTCTCGAGTATAGCGTCTGAACCTCCAGTCTGATAATGTGGGTAATAACACATTCTGGAGTACTCAAACTTAAGGTGTATGCCACTTATAGGGCCCATCCATTCACGCATACTTCATGATTGTTTGGATGGATTTTTGCTTTGGTGTATCGATAGTCGGGATTTTCTTATGCAACGGGTATAAGCATCATGATGTACTTTATCGATCGGCACTCACTGTTCGACTCGGAGCCACGAAATGGTTGGGATAGACTAGTACAGTATCCTGTGCGAAGTGACGTAAATACCTGCTTTATTTTTCCTCTCGCCGGCTGTGGACATTTGTATTTGATGAACGGGTTTATCATCGCGTATGGAGACTATAAATACTAGAGCCACTGCGGGAAAACATGCATCCCACTTTTCCCCCACTCGAATCACCGTAGTGAGCATTGCACATCGGTTTTACATTTAGACAAAAACGTGCGTTAGACAGCACGAACCTGTAGCTGGCTGTGTGTGCCAGATATTAACAATCTCTAATCTAGTCATACTCTACCAGAACTTGCATAACATTGCGATGCGGCAATTCGCTCTGGTTGTATCGCTATTCTTCATATTTATTCCGATCGCTGCGGGATTCTTCAAATGGAAAGCCCAAAGTCGCGCATATAGTACGTAGAATATGTGCCATGGTGCTCCTGATCCGCTTTATAAAGTCACACCTCCAAGGTTACTATGGCACAGATTACCCACAAACATGGCCCCTTCCGCCCCTCGAATCGGTCCACATGACGCTCGAAAACACTGTGCACTGCACGGAAGACAGCCCCATCAGATCTGCCGAATGGAACAGGACGCTGCCCCGCGGAGGCGGCATGCTCCACCTTGGAGACGACATGCGCACCTTCAGCATCTCGATGTTCCATCAGCTTCGCTGCCTTAACATTATTCAGGCATCGATAGCGGAAAGCCAGAACCACATTGGACGGATGCCAACATCGCTGGACCTGCATTGCATGAACTACATCCGCCAGATGATCCTATGTCGTTCGAGCTTGCGTCTCGAGTCCGTGCGTTCAGTCAAGGAGAAGTCCGGAAACACTGTCTCGGACGTCACTCACACCTGCAGAGATTGGAGTGCAGTGTTTGCCGCGGCAGAGGAGAATTACGACATTTTCTTGACGCACTCGCCGGCTTCTCGGAGCGATACGTGAATAGAGTCGGCAAAATTCAATGGTGAATAGTGGCGGTGACTACCTGTGTCCGATTGTAGACGGCATTGTATCATTAGCATACATGTATATAGATATCTAGAAGCGGCATGAGCCATGGAACCCGCAGCGCCTAGAATTCTCGAGAAGGTGCCACTCTCGCCTACATCGCCATACCAGTTCCCACAGCCCATTCGTCCCAGTGACTCTGCATGGTATCGTAGACAGCCGACCAATCTCTGCAGGTATGTGTTGCGCCCGTTCTCTCGACCTCGAAGTCCCGC